CTAGTAAAGAACCCAGAGTAAACATTTCAGATCACCATATGAAGTAATGTGAAAGTAATGTAAAGAGTAGTGTAATATTATGTCTCCAGGTCCATATTCAATTCAAAATCTTAGTATAATGGCAAATAAAGCACGGTCATAAAAAGCAATTGCTATTAGTACGGCTGGGCCATATCATACCGTTCACGGTAATACCGGTATAATGTTAGGCAATGAAAATGAGAAAAAATTAGAAAATGAGATATCGCGATAGAATATGGGTAAAACGCACCTTTGTGTTCATACGCACATGGCGGAAAAAGCACGGCAGCGACAGAGAATGAGAAGGGCGAAAGCGTATCGTTGAATGAAACAGATGAACCATGTTTACAATTGGTTTGTAAACATGATGTAACTTCAGTGGTGTGGAACTGGTTTGGCTTTTGTCTGGCAGATGCACACCAAAGCACATTTTTGGTAGAGCATGCAAGCGGGCCGTCGTTATTACGAACCAATTTTATGTGGTACGCGGCGCTAAAAAATCGCTCAAAAAATGTTTTAGTACGACTTTGCTAAGCTACGAAGCCGTACCGCTTGATGGATTGTCGGAGCATTACTGCTACTGTAGTCAGGAGCCTCGCAGAGTGATACGTACTGTGCTTCAACATAATATTACCGCATTGTGTGTATATAACCAACTTTTAAGTTTTGTGGGTATTATGCATGGTTACGCTCAGAATATGTCGGCCAATTTCCACTGGAAATGCCTTTTTGTTAAACTGTCAGCAAGGAATTTGCATTTGCGCTGTTACATTTTTATATAGCTTTAATGCACATAAAAAACAGCTGCTTGTTTAAGTGAAAATACATTGATGGGTTTTTTTCCACAAATAAAGTTAATGAGTTATTAAGTATTTTGTCTCGCATCAATTATATTGTCAGTAATATCGTTATCGCAAATTTTCAAATATATATCATGATAAATATTTCTGGCCATATTGCCCTGCCCTAGCTATTAGTTTCAGCTGCATTTTATATTTAGCCAACAAAAGCTAACTAATATCTTGTGAACGCTTTCATGACAGCATGAAAATGTTAGCATTCAGCTTAAGTACAACTATAATAGCATACAGTGTCATAGAGGACAGTAACATTCAGGGTCCTTCCACAGTCTTTTGCTTTACTCTAATACAGCAGTTTAAAACCTTTTTACACCTGACATGCCTCATTTTCAAAAGTCCAACAAGAAAAGTTCAAGCTTCACACTCCATCATTTTTTATCAAATTTTAACAATAAAACACTGCATCCCACAACCGCACAAAGTAAACCGATGCATGTCTAAATCTGTTAAGAAGACGCAGACTGTCCCACCTGTATGCATATGGATCACACCTCCCAAACCAATAAGATTTGAAAAGAAAGCAAAATCACACAAGTAGGAGCTGAATGTATGTCTGGGCAGGTAACATGGCCAGTATGTGCAGGTGGTGGTGTGATTATACTGAAAGTGAACGAACCTTAAGTCTTATTTAGCTCCATTGATACTGACTCAGAGTTGCATGTTTAGAATGGCTAAAAACCTTAATCGGCTTTGTATGTAGCCCTAGCTTCATTCTTGGAGTACTTCCCGGGAAAATATCAAGTATCATATCAGCCATCACTCACTGGATGCAGTCCCTAAGCATGAAATCACTTGAGTTGCAACACTGACACCCACACACTGTTCCTGCCACGCAGACAGAAAAAGCAATCAAGGTATGACGGTTAGGATATGACATTCCAGGGAGTAAGCGCTGATTTTCTACACAATTGGCATGCTGTGACATGGGGTGATAGTGGCAAATCCTAACAAGTCACTCTGTCAAACCACAACTGCACAATTTACATCTGTGGTTTACAACCTTCACAGCCTTTATATCTTGGGGTAGTTAGTTGGGTTTGGGAGTAAAGTGGTCTCTGTCACTTAGTATGGATATCATACTAAAGAGAAACAGAGCACAGGGTTGCATAGCTTAAGAAGAAGGAAGAATAGAGGAACAAATGTTAAGCCTGTTAAAAGTCCAGGAATCCATAGAAATCTCCAAGCATGGAAAAAAACATAAATATAATTGACTTGTAGATACAAGTAAATGCCTAACATATGTCATTATCTGAAAGAATTGTGAGACTACTTGAGTATCATAGGTGTAGTTTGTGAAGAGTTTTTATAACAATCATTTCACAGCCTCACAGTCACATTCACTGTTTTCATAGTAAAAATGTCCTTGAGATGTGTTGTTTTGTACAAGAGAGTGTGTTTGTACAACTTCAGGGCTAGACCTCTAAATATCACACACCGAAAATATGTTTAACTTGACTTCCACTGAGAAAGATGAAGAGGTCCATACACTGACAAGATTTGGACAACTGTGCAGTGGATTTTAAACTAAGCATTTAAGATGTGACTGTAGGGCAGCCTTTCAGAGTTTAGCAAACATAATGTATTAACAAACGCCAATGCTGCCAGTGGAAACAATGAACTAGTGTTTTTTGATGATGTACAGAGCTGCTGTCTCTGGTCTGATTCCGACAAATGCTGTGAAAATGAATAATGAACCAACGCATACTGTGGAAGCAAACCACACCCAGACTTGCTCAAGGCAAAGAAAAGGAATGGGATAGATGATCAGGTGACCATCTATAGCTAAACTAGTCACCTGATCGCAACCCAAAAAAACATACTTTTCAGATATTGAAGAGAAAACTGAAGGTAGATACCCACAAACATAAATTATTAATGCAATGCTTTTTAAAAAAAACAACAACTTTGATCTGAAGCTGAAAGACTGCACTTCGATCACATCTTGATTGTCTGAATTAAAATCCACTGCTGTGTTGTACAGAGGCATAATTACACAAAGTTTGCCATGCTTATGGACCTAACTGTACCTTCTAGCAGTACAGAAGGGTTTATTAAATAAAATAAAATCAGTCTTATATCATAAATGACTCGAAAGGTTCCATGTAAAATCCAACTGATGAGATTTCCCCGGTCTTGGGTTGCAAACCCTTTCTGTCTTTGACTATTGATTGAAAACGTTCTGCCAGTGAAGCCCTAAGACTTTAACATCGATGATTGCCGCAGGTGGAAATGGTTAATGGATAAATATCCTTAGCTTACTTCACCTGCTTTCATGTTTGTAGATCAGTGTCTGTGAATCAATATCTGTCCTTTATAAATCTTCCCTGCATACAGTTGGCCCATCCTGACCAGGCAAATCAAATCTCTGGCCATCATACCATTACAAAAGAGTGGTCTGATGTCTGGGTGAAAGCACCGAGCCCTCAGCCAAGACATTTCTTTTTTATTGAAAAGAGAAAAAAACATATAAGAGGGCAAGAAGACACAAGAGGAGAGAAAAGGTTCCATTTTTAAGAAATTGGATGCAAGCATCAGAACAAACATGGGGTATTTTGTGTTCAGAAGACTACAATTCAGAGCAGGTCTATCTGTGCATAGTATATATGGTGTTAAGGATGGATGAAATGAATACAGTGTTCTTGTGACTGAAAGTAGCCAGTCATAACCTAATCTAAAATGCCCCCGGGACAAGAGTCCAAGTTGGCTTCTCTAAGGGCAAACCAATCGGTGTGCAGAGCGTTCAGGCGCAAACACAAATAAAAAATACATCAAATACAATAACCATGAAAAGCATCTATGTAACTATTTTCTTTTATTTCTTTCTTTCTATTTTCTTTCTAAATAGGATCAGACAATTACAATACATAACCATACTAAAATGTATCCTATTACAGCTATAAAAAGCTTTGACTGTTTTGTGAGGTCATTATATAATTTAAATTGCAGTCACAGTTTTCTATTTAGTTGTAATGCTCTGCTTTTTTTAATATCACAGTCAAGGAAATGATCACAAAAAGCTCAACATTAGACCCTTACAGAACTACAACACTGACTGGTTTATCTGTATAGGGGCACTCTTAGCCTCCACTGACATATTGCACTATGAGCTCTGTCTGAAGCTGCAATAGACAGCTGCGATGAAAGCTGTAAATTACCTGGCAGATATTGGCTAAGGTCTGACGATTTTTACTGTCACTTTTTTCTTTTTTAATCAAGTGATTACATAAGAACAATAAATTTACAGTTAAAGAGAAGACACCTTACTTGTTGATGTTACATGGTCCTTAGCTGCAGATGAAAAATGTTAGGAAACTGGAACTTTTTAGGCACATACAGCAATAACATTGCCATAAAGCAAAAGGAAATATAAATACGTCTCATATACAACTTACATCTTTGCAGTTTTGTGTTAATGCAAAACACTAAAACTTGCTTTGCTGGAAGAGCTTGTCTACTTCATGGCTTTGCTAGAGATATTTATCACAACTCAACTTTTCCACAATCCGATTTAAGTGATCACGGACCTTTCGTTCCACATTAACAAACCACACGAGATAAACTAACACTGGCATTTCATATTATTTAGTTATCTGATGTCCCATCCCTTTAGAACAGCCCAAATTAACTGGTCCGAATTTATATTAAAGGCTATCTGTGCTTCCGATGATAACTGACGGAAGAAGAGGCACATTTAACAAGGTTTGCCAGTCCCTTCATGTGCCCGGCGCACTCACATATCCTTGAGAATCAGTCATACAAGAGCACAGAGGCGTGGAAGACAAGAAGGACTTTGTGAATGACAAGAAGGATTGCAACTGTGTAAATGCATTCAATAAGAACAGTCCTAACACTTTAAAAGCAAAAAGGAAACAATCACCTAAAGCCTCAGCTTGTAGAACACTTCTAAAAGCTGAGCTTCACATTTCAGTCAATGATGCCGGAGAAAAATTATGCCGGCTCCAAAAAAATAAATGAATAACACTTAAACAATGTCCCTCAACAGAGAAACTCGCATGTGACAACCAGAATTTTCAGTCATCACTTTTTGTGATGACAGAAACCAGAAAATCAGATAAACAGTGCGAACTCCAACCAGTTTGTTTTCTTTTCTTTTTTTACCTATGCTTCCAGACCTCCTCTTGCGCTCTTGGCACCCCCACACTGCCCGCTGTTCATCCGGCCCATCACAGCAGGTAGGTCCACAGCAGACAGACTATGTATTACAGTGTCCAGAGGCAGATTTATAAAGTAAGAACGAAAAAACAACCTGTGAGTTCTCAAACTAGCTCTAGTCCAGTTAAGCAGCACTGGGTCTTTTTGTTTGTTTCACTCTTGATGTCTGTAAATCACTTTTTAAAGTAAATGTCGCTCTCTTTGCAGTGCGGTCCGCTGTGCGCTGTACTCAACGCTGCGCTCTTAATGGCGCTCCGCGCTCCTGTATTTCACAGAAAGCGATGTAGAACAAGGACTCCAACTTCCGGTGTCAAGTTTCAAAATACAACTCCACATGATGAACGGCAGGAACAATGTATGTGTGTTTCTATACCTGAGTCAGTCTGTATAAGCACAAGCACTATCAGAATTGTAATAATTTCGGTGGTGACATTTATTTACCCATATAAATAAAAATGATTAGACTTTAACAAATGAATGTGGCAATAGAAGGTGATTTAACATTAGGTGCACGAATAAAATGAGCAGGAAAAAAGATGCTGGAGAAAAAAAGGCCTGCGGGGAAACTATAATGAATCAAAGTTATTAAGTAACAGGTCAAAATGCTACACTAATATATCACAACTCCAAAAAGTTAAATATGCTCCTGCCTTATGTGAGAGGTTTACTTGAGTTATCATGTAGGACTGTGTATGTTGTGTCTAAGCAGACTTCACAAAATCAGCGCACATCTATTGTATATTAAGTTTGATTTCAGCTTTAATTTATAGATAGATAGATAGATAGATAGATAGATAGATAGATAGATAGATAGATAGATAGATAGATAGATAGATATGATATGATAAAATGAATAAAAATGCAAAATATATTATATATATTATAAAATATTATAAAATATTGTTCAAGTAAAGTTAGAAAAAACAATTAGGAAAAAAATAACAGGTATAACAAATAAAATGACTGGACAAAACCAGGAAATAACTGTCCATCAATCCATTTCTTACCAGTTATTCAGTTCATGGTCGGTGGGAACGTAGCCTATCCCAGCTACTATAGGCCAGTCTGTGCAGGGCTAACACAGAGAGACACAAAATATTCACAACTATGGATAATTCAGAATCACCAGTTGCTGGAGAACCCAGAGAAAGTCACGCAGATAAATGGAGAACATGCAAAATGCGTACAGAAAGCCTTCACCGAACAGTGGATTTGAACCCACTGCTTGTTATGAGGCAGCATTGCTAACTACACCGTGCCATCGTGCTGTTCTCAAAAAAAAAAGAAAAAGAAAAAAAGGTCAGAAATATAAAACCCAGTGACACCCAGGGTCTGGGTAAAGCCGACGATATAACGTGTCATACATTTATTTCAAAGGTGTTTAATTTTCCTCATTTTTCTTTTTCCAAATGTCGCAACATGTTGTGATACCTGTAAAACTGGTATTCGCTTCGATTGCAGATACTTTCTTAGTACAACTGTATGATGGATATTTTATTTAGGCTATAAATTTTACACCTTTCCCTCGTAAATCCATATACAAAAGTTAATTTGGCATGATTTGATTTATTATGAAACGAAATTCGCTTAACTTCCGGGAGGCTTATTCCTAAACATGGTTAGCTTTATGTAGGTCCGTTCCCACCGGTACTTTTAACTGAATGTGATTGAATGTTTTTCCTTTCTAACTCAAGTGTTGGCCCTGAAGAGGCGATCACAACAGAGTTTTCCATCTGGAATATATATAATAAAAATAAAATACTAAATAAGTAATCACTTGATGGTTACCAGTGACACACAGTGATTGGAGTGGGGAGTGGGTGGGAAGAAGTGAAAATAGACATCATTAAATAAATGCAATACATAAATAAATAAATAAAATAAAATAAAACTATCCAGCAGACTCAAGAGGTAACACGAATAAATGACTCCAAAGTCAGCACATCTTAAGAGATTCGTTGTGTGCACTTTTTAATGTTTGGTAACATTGAAGCTCCAGTGGTTTGCTGGCAGTAAGGAATCCATCACGATTCCGCCCCCAGTATCCTAAAAGGGAAACAAAAAACAGAAAACGTCAGTAAGAGGCGGCATTTAGCTGATAAATAAATAAATAAATAATTAAGTAAGTAAATCTTGTCCACTCTTAGCCATGGATGCAATTAAAAACATGATTACATGCAACATTGCAATAAAAAATACACTGCAAAATGAGGAAGTCATTTTCATAGTCATACTGGTCAGAAAATAACCGAGTTTTATTGTTTTAAAGTGTGTTTGTGGGAGGTATACTACCTCCCTCTAATCCTAGATGTTTGTAGGCAACTCAACTCAGAAATACCTGCACAGAAATACTTTGAATGGGACAAAGCATAATTTACCCATCAACACGAGAGAACAAAAAAGAAAAGAAAAAGAAAATAGCAAGTATATGGTATATAGAATACCACAGGAAGCCCTTTCCAATGGGTGCCAGCAGGAATAGGATATTAAGAAATTAGGGGTGTGAATTCAAAAGATTTCTGATAGCTCATCTGATTTCTCTATTAAGAACAATGCATTCATAAGAGCAGCTGAGAAACTGCTCAGACTTTTCTACTCCCAGGAGTTGATCACAGCTTGAGGAAGTAACACCCAGCTCTATCTCTCTACCAAACCTGACTCTACTCTTCCTCCACCCTCCCTCATCCTCTGTCTAGCTGAACTTAATTCTTGGTTCTCCTCCAACTTTCTTAAACTCAACAGCAATAAATCGGAACTTCTTCTGGTTGGCACTAAACGACTGCTATCCAGAATTAACAATTTCTCTCTCACCATCAATAACTCGCTGGTCCCTATCTCTCCCTCTGTGAAAAGCTTGGGTGTCATTCTCGATAGCACATTATCCTTTAACTCACATATCAATAATATTACACGTGCAGCATATTTCCAACTCCGTAACATTAATCGCCTCCGCCCCTTCCTCACACCTCACGCCACTGCCATTCTCATCCATAATCTTGTTATCTCTAGAATTGACTACTGCAACTCATTATTATTTGGCCTTACACAAAAATCTATCAACAAGCTCCAACGTGTCCAGAACTCTGCTGCCCGTATTATTACTAGGACTTCTTCTACCCACCACATCTCCCCAATCCTGAAGCAACTTCACTGGCTCCCGGTCAAATTTCGCATCCATTTTAAAATAATTCTGTATACATTCAAGGCTATTCATTCTCTCTCTCCACCGTACCTCTCTGCCTTATTACAGATGAAGCTCCCATCCCGCTGCCTCAGATCTTCATCTTCTCTTTCTCTCTCTGTTCCCTCTGCTCGTCTGATCACAATGGGAGGGAGGGCCTTTAGCTGCTCTGCCCCTCGACTTTGGAATTCCCTACCCCCGGACCTCAGAAATATTAGTTCATTCTCTCTTTTTAAGTCCACCCTCAAAACTCATCTGTTTAAAATTGCCTATTCTTAAATTTCTGTATGTTTTAACTTTTATCTTCTATTTTTATCATTGTGTATATTTCCAGTTTTTATCTGTTGTACAGTGTCCTTGGGTGCTTTGAAAGGCGCTATTTAAATAAAATGTATTATTATTATTATTATTATTATGTTTTCTTATTATTTTATTACAGACAGTATGTCTGCAGCTATTCCTTTGACTTCCCTGCCTTCCTGAATGTCCATGAGGCAGTTTTGGTTTGGCAGTGTAGAGAATAGGTAATGACACAATATCAGTTTTCATATTTTATATCATACAGAAGTTTTTTAAATAAGCTGTTTCAAAAAACAATTTCACCATGTGGTAATACAGAAACAAGTTAGATAACATGCTTGTAGGCGACTGAGACCGCTGAAGCATGAAAGTGGGGGTCATGTAGAAAACCCACATGCTGATAAAGCAACAAGATTCATGAGGGAAATGATACTGGAAACCATGTTTATTATCCCGTCTCTTCAATTTCAGCTCTGTAAACTGGCTATACGCCTGCAGTAACACAGGGTCCTCAACCATCAGGAAAATGAAAATATGGTTAAATGGAAGTTCAGTTCATTTTAAAAGAAAATTTGCCTCTTCTGTGTCAAAAAGGAATACAGTTTCAACTGCTGACATTTTTGTCACAGATGATGCTCATAAAAATGACAAATTAGCATTAAATTTTGCTCATTTCTCTTGAACATTTGCAGCCTTTATTTTTTTTACAGACAGTGATAAACAGAAAGTAAAGAGAGGAGGTGAGTGCTGTACGTTGGCATCGGTGATGCTGGTCAGGAGAGAGCCGCCATGTGAATTTTAAACTGATAACACGATGATTCAGGGGGAAAATGAATGGGCCATGAGGCACGGATAGACTGGAGTAATGAATGAAGCAATATGGTACAGAGAATGAAGCAGTAAGAAGTAAAATGTGCCAAAACTTAGCTGACCAGCGAGGGGTCTGCTGTAGAAGGCTTGAGCGCTACCAATCAATTTTCAAGAGAAACAGACAAACAGCAGCGAAAACATTGCTTGGCAGAGTAATAAGTACGTCAGAAGGAAGACATATCGAACCGAAATGTTGTTGTGCATACAAAAGCATTTACAGTGCACTGAAGCGCATTTATTCTTCCAAATGAGTGGTTTAAACACAGAGATTTTAAAAATGTCTGACTATCTGCCAGTTTAATTTACTCCCTGAATTTTCTTTTCCACATTATGCCATTAAAATCGTTTGTTTTCTGATGATTGTCACTTTAATTCCTCGTGGTAATTAATTAACCATGATAAGAGTTGAGGAATGAAATCCAGCCCAGTCACATCACGATTCATCATTCTGGAATGGATTTGAGCGATGAGGCTTATTTTTTAAATCACATGGCAGGACCTTGAGCTGAGAAGCCTGCCGTCAGCTGCCACAGCCTTTGCATGAAAGTCACAAAAAAGCTTCATAAATCTGTCAGATATGTCTGAATTTTTTTTTTTCTGAGTTAGCCTCTTATTTCATGTTAGACATTATTGTCTTTCTCCTCTTCCTCAGTCTGCCTCCTCTTTCCTCGTATTGTAGGTGGTGCAAATCAGTAAGTGTTGCCTCTGACCTTGAGCTGCTAAAGCTTCATCTTAAAGCACGATTCTCAAACGTATGCTGGGCAAGAACGAA